TCGTTTTTTTTTTAACCATGAGCAATGTACACCAGCTCGTTTGCGCCCTCACATTTTGTTCCGATACTAGCCGGCACAACGACCATCCAGATCAAAACGGGTAGAGGCGGGGATCAGACTCAAGAATGATTCTCGGGTCCTGCAGCGACAGATTTCGCTCCAGGCGCTCCGAACTTCGGTTATGTGCAAACTTCCTCGGATAACGATTCCCCGCCTTCAAGATTATATATGGTCATTGACAGGCTACTATCTTGTGAGAAGCACCGCCTCCCCCACACGCGCGTTGCCTTTCGCCGGGCTTTGACTGCGCGTGTCACGCAGTGTTATAAAATTGAGTAGCCTTGTGTTAGTCTACACTAGAGTCAAAGCGACAGCTTTGACTCTAATGTAGATTAACGTAGGGGTACTCTGACTCTACTGTAGAGAACGCGTGCAGTGGGCATCGGGTATTACGAAAAATCCAAGGTATAGGGCGGGTTGTAAACGTTGTAGTAACGTCTCCACTAATCATGCGAACAAGAGCTCTGAGGTCCCGTTTCGTGACCACCTCAGTTTCCAGGCGTGCTGGCATGTTGCAACGACCGCACACCCCACGCCACTTGAAAGAGACGCCCTTTTGCTTATCAGCGCTTCAATAGACCAATTTCACTAAGCGTTCCAGGCATGCGTCACGCCGCCATAACTAGTTCACAAGGGATAGGCCCCCGTGCACAATATCGCTCGAGCCGTCTCGTGCTCTGCTCGTGCACACCCCCAGCGGGGTTGTGGCGCGTGCAGAAAGACCACAGTTCCCACGATGCATGGCGACAGCGGTGGCGAAGACAAACTCGCTGGTGAGATTGGTCTATTGTTCGGTTAACCGCGTTACCCCGTAACACTGAAATGTACAGATCCCCTTTATTCTCGTGCTCCCCGAAAGAAATTGTTCGCGTTTGACCCACATCTAATTTTTCAATAGCTGATACCATCTTGGGTCAACTTCACTGCATCGCAATAAAAATAAAGACCGCATCATTGTCCGAGGCGGTGCTCTACTCTACTACGTGCTAAAATTCGGCCACTGTGTCGGCGAGTAAGTGTGACCCAAAAAGCGGGAGTATTTCGTCACCGGCAAGCTCTCGCTCCTCAGCAATTATATCTGATACAATTAGACAAGGTTTTGGGGTGGCCGTTCTCCTGACCTCTAATAATAATAATATAAACAAAAACGACGGAAAATAAGGTTAAGGCGTGTCTGGTTATTGTGTTGTAGATGCTAGTTATCTACATTATGTATTCACAATTTTAAGTAGAGACTTTGACTAGGTAGTCCTTGTGCGGCCTATTGCCTCTATACAGCGTACACTCGTGGACAATACGAGCGGCAACACCCGCCTTTTTTTGCGACTGCGGTCCCCGCAATCTCTATTAGCTCTGTCGGAGTCTGAAGCACGGGACCTCAACTTCGCATTACGTATTCCTAATTCAAACCACAGGGGCCCTAATCTACACAGCGTGAGCAAGTGGGACCAAGAAACCGGGACATCGCCACCTGCGACGATTGGCAAGCTCCGCACGACTGACCAATCGCAGCGGGCGGCGACGTTCCGTTCCCTAGGCAACGCTTGGTCCCTTCGTGTAGATTAGGGCCCAGGTCTCTAAAAAAAAAAAACCTGGCAGGCACGCCAAGGAAGCATAAAATACAGAAAGATCCATTGGTGTATTATTACGGAATCCTTGGATACGCCACACACGTGCCCCTTTGGGAAACGCTAACGCTGCCCCCTTTACTTTTTTTCTTTCGGCTTCCTTTTTTGCTTTCTTTTTTGTTTGCTTCCTCTTTTTGGCCTCGTTACGGGGTTAGTGTTAGCGTTTCCCAAAGGTGGACGCGTGTGGCGTTTCCCAATTGGGTCACGCTAACAGATTCCCTAAGAATTCACCCATGGATCTTCCTGCAATATTTTAAGGCGAAAGCATTATGTGCCCCATTACGCGAAAATCCGGCATCGTTAGTGGCGTGACCGAGCAATGGTACCGAAAATGGCCGACGGCGAAAAGAGTAAAAACACGTAAAAAATGCACGGATTGATGTCATATTTATCAGGAAAGTTCCTGTAAACAAAGTAAATGAATGGCTTTGAAAAGCAAATCTGGCGCCGAACCCGGGCCCCAGGGGTGCGAGACGGGCACGCTTCCCCGACGCCATGGCGGCTCCACGGTTCTGGTTGACTAAAGCTGTGCCTACTGACGCCCTTTCATATTCCCACACGTAAGTAGTCTTAAGTGCCTCTGTCGAATTTTTTACCCCTTTCTTGCACTTTCTGCCTGTCAGGGTACGTTGAGAGCCTTGGATACGGTCATCCCTATCCCTCGTGGAAAGAACCACATGCATACCACCACTCGTGGAAGGAACCGCATCCATCGCTTCAATTACAAAAGCACATCATAGCCCACGCACAGCTACTACGGAAACCCAGAGCGAAGGACAACCGGCGACGGTAGAGCGGCAACTGAGCACGCGCGTACAATGGCGTCTCAAGGGAGGGGCGGGGCGGCCCACCCCGGGTGCAGCGCTCAGGGGGGTGCAGCAGGGCAGTGAAAGGAAGGGGGGATTGCGGCGTGCCACGAGAGCGAGGGGTGTGTGTGTGTGTGGGGGGGGGGGGGGGGGGGGGGGGGGGAGAGAAAGGGGGGGAGAGGTCACAGCGGACTGCCGCCCCGGGTGCCGCTGACCCTAGTGGTGCCACTGAGCCCGCATTCCACCTCGCCGCGGCACAACACCTCCTGGATAACAAAGCCGTGGTGCTGAATGTGATGGCGTCATCAGAGAAGGCCAAGGCTGGGCCCCGATTGGACACGACGATTACGGCAACCTTCGGCTCAAAGTTCAATCATGACTCGAAGCCGAGCGCTGGCGCGGCACTCGTTTCCAATCCGTGTCCAGCGTTGGCCTTTTTTGATGACGTGTTCTAATTCAGCACTGAGTCTTTGTTATCTATTGGGTGTTGCGCGGCACCTCCTACTCTCTGGCACCGCGCCAGCTGTGGGCATGACTTCGACGAAAACCAAAGAGCTCGTTTTGACGAAAACCCGGTGGCTTTCGTTTGTCAGCTACGGGGAGAGAGGAAGAAGAATGGGGAGAGGTTGACGCTTGCCGACGTCAGCGCCTCGGACCAATGAGAGCGTCGTACGCGTCACCCCTCCTTCTCCCTCTCTCCCTGTAGCTGACAAACGAAAGACACCAGTGAGATTTTGTCGAAACGAGTGCTCTCATGCTAAAGCATTAAAACTGTTTTAGCTCATATTGGCCACGATAGTACATTGTGTAGCAAGCAACACGCATCAGCCACCATGGAGATTCGAACGAGTGATCTTTATGTCGCGCGCTCCGCGCTCGTGTTGAAACCGCGGCATCCCGAGAGAGAGGTGGCGCCATCTCTCGCTGGTTTCTACACATTCTACTACATTTGCTACTTATCTGTAACTCGCCACACTGTAAATTATAAAATTTTTCCTTTATCTTGGTTTATATCTATCTTGTACGAGCTTTTTTACATCATCAATGGTTCACTGCACTATAGTTTTTTTCATCTTTAGTATAACTATTTTTTTTTTTGTGGCAGAAAATTCTTTAGGGTGACTTCTAGCACTCGGTATATTTAGGTGATCTGAACAGCACAGTATATTCTAAATTCAAATTTCGAGTTTTTCTCGGTTCGGTATATTGGAGTCTTGTACGTTCTCCAGTAATTAGATTTACTTGTTAAATCTAACTTAGATCAGTTACTACTCGTATCGAGAGCGTTCAAAAGTATAAAAAATAAGGGAGTATTTCAATTATGTTTCTTCGTTTCTGCGTAAAATTATGAAATGTATATATTATAAGGGTCCTTGTTCCTCATCCTTCCCGAAGGTACCCGAGTAGCTAGGGTAAATCAAGTTGGTGCACCTGGTTTCCTCCCACGAAGAACCAAGAAATGACAGGTGAACTATTTGAACTTACGGATCGTCCCGGTTCACAAACCCAGCGATACTACGATGAGAGTAGTCAACCTTTTGGGCGTTCGGAAAGGGCGCGACGTTCGCGTACTGGAAGTTGGTGTGACCTCTCCTCCCACCGTACCCGAATCCATTGGCGAATCCGTAGCCAGATCCGCCGCCGTAGCCGTTGCCGTAGTCTGGCACGTAGTCAGGCACGTAGGCAGGCACGTACTCGAGTCCGGAGCCACGTCTAGATAACGCTGGGAGTACATGGTTTAAGAAGCCTCCCGCTCTCGGGGTTTTTCCTCGCGCGTTGGGCAGATAGCCTCCTCCTGAGGCAACATGGATATTCCGATTCGTACCAAAACCGAAGGGTCTTCGGTTGTCTATGTTGACGCTGACTGCTGCGGCTTGGCTCGGCTGAAGGTGGTACAAGCCGCAAAATATGCTGGCAAGGAAGACGCCGACCGACGTTGTCCTCAACAAGGCAGTCAAGGCGCGTGCCATCTTTCACGATAATCTTCGGAATTGACCTCCTGTCAAGGTTGAAGAGAGAGCGAGTCTGACCAGCGCAGTCTTATCGCGAGCGCACAACTCTGTACTTACAGAACTTCGTAAGTTTCCTCAAAGTACCGAAGTGACAGAGCGACGTTTCTTTCACCCGTTGGCTTAAATGTCTCGAGAAAAAAAAAATCTCCATATAAAAATTGAAGTTGCACAGGTTGTGGCCATGCTCTCATTTCGTTTTGGACGAGCGCTCCAGCTTTCGTCGTGTAATTCCACCTGCTCGTTTATCACGGCCGTCTCATTTTTGTGCGTGCTGTTCGCCACTATAGGGTATGCCATTCGTCATGCCCGACACTGCCGCGCTAAGGTTTGCAGAGGATCAGGTGCGAATACGAGACGTATCGTTCGCCTTTTTCCCTCCGCGTTTGGAAAGCCAGCCGCTCTATAACCTACGTACTCACAAAACCACCGATTGGTGTCTCCCTCCAGAAAGCCCGCCTTTGAAACGCGTGACCATTTAAAGACAGCCCCGAAGGATGTCACGACTAGGCGTGTTCTTCTACGTGCCGAACGTTATCGGGTACCTCCGGATGGTCATCATCGCTGCAGACTGGCTTCTAGTCAAAGATGACGTCTGGTTTGCCGTGCTCTTCTTCGTCTCCGTTCTCCTGGATGGCGTGGACGGGTGGGCGGCCCGACACTTCCGTCAGGTCTCGGCGTTCGGTGCCTTGCTCGACGTGATCATCGACCTCGGAGCCCGGGCCATGCTCTGGAGCCTCGTGTGGCCCAGGTTCGGCGGATTCATCTCGTCCATCGAGTGGGTCGGCTTCCTCTGCAACTACAAGGAGGCCGGAAAGGACTGGAAGAGTCCGAGAGACCATCCGCGCTGGATTCGGGTCATTCTGGCGAACGGTTTCAAAAACTTCTGGGGCGGGATCCTGGTTCTGGGCACGCACTTCCTGCCCCTGGGCATCTTTGTGGCCGAGCGGGGCATTGTAGGCTGGGAACTGATGAAGCCCGTCATTGGGTTCTTGTGGTTCGGGAAGGGCATTTGCTTCATGACAGAAGCTTACTTCATTGGCTACCACGTCAACAAGATTAATCCCTGAAGGTTCATCTTATTTCGGATATCGTAGGATTGAAACTTGTTCGATTGTTTTGGTTATAATAACTGACGTGACACCAACCTTTCTTCAAGGACAATCTACCCCCCCCCCCCTTTTTATTTTCCTTTTTTTACATTACATTGTGAGTTGCGACGCTTGATCTCATCTTTTTGCTACGACCGCGGTCTCCGCAAGTTGCATCATTTCTCGGTTATGCAGGAAGTTGAAACGCTGGTACCTAAATTTAGCGTTCCAACCTCTAATTTGAAACAGACCTTCAAAAACCGGCATGCACGTTTAAGAAGCGTGACTGGCTGATAACTTCAATCGCCAGCGATATTCAAGAGTCCAAAACTATGAAAGAACCCTTCGAAACCAGCAATAAAGCTTGCCGATTAAATGTTTATTTTTACTGCCGAAGACTGTATGAATAGGTTGGTGAATTGTGAAAAGGCTACGCTTCCGGATAAAAAAAACAGATATTCTAAGGAGAAGAAAAAATGCTTCAGGCGGAAGACATCATATATTGTTAATAGAGCGACCTCATCAAGCGTTCGGCGCATGCGTGACACCGCCATAACTTTAGTTCACAAGAGGCAGGCGGAGTGCATGCGACGATTCGTGCCGTCCCGTGCTCTGCGCGCACAGAGCTACAGCGAGGTTGTAGCACGCGCAGAAAGACTAAATTTCCCTTTGTGCATCGCGTCAGCTGCGGCGTACCCAAACTGGATGGTGAGATCGGTCTATTGTGCCTGCCGAGTCCTCGAGACCAATGCAGTTTCCGCGTACCGCGCAAACTCCCGCCTTTGTGGGATGGTTTCTAGAACTAGTGAATCGTGTCCACCCAAATCCTGTTAACGTTCTGCAGGAATGGTCAGACAGTAAGTGCTAGCGAGCGAGTTCGAGTTCGGTCTCGGTAGCAACCGTGTCATGAAGCGTGCAGGGCGTGACACAGTTAACATAAACAAGCGGTCACCGGATTTTACTATTTTATTCTCGCAAAAAATAAGCTCTGTGCAAAATTAGTAGTTTGAAGAAATGTATTTATAAGGGACGTCACTATTTTGTAGTAGAAAAATGCAAAGGAGCGCCGGTGTGTTATTCACGCTGACGGCGCCGGGCAGTGTATACGCTCTATACTATGTTTTGTGTGTGTTTTTTTTTTGTATTTGTTAAAAATGTACGTGTTCTTTCCCGCGGATATTTAATGAATACATAACAAAATGCATTTCAGTTTAATAAATATATATATATATTTTTTTAAAGAATGTTTGGGGTCATTATTACGTTTCTTTTTAAGGCGAGGACCTTATATGTCTCATTACGCGAAAAGGCGTCGGCGTTGTGCCCGAAAGATGGCTATAAAAATACGTCATCAAGCACGCGACACTCAAGTTCAAAGCGGACTCGCCTCGAAAAGAAAACACAAAGAAAAGCACAGCAACGGAGATGCTTCGTCACGAAAGACGTGAAGACGGCGCGGTTCGCCGCGCCTGCGCAGTGGGGGATCGTGATATCACCGCCGGAGCGCCGTGTACACGGAATGCACACACACCGAATACAATACGGCAGAAACGACTTTAATACGTGTAGAAATATTACTAAAAAAAGATTTCAGCCGCGGGATTATAATGCTTTCGCATTCCTACACCTAAGCAGTATTAAGTGTCTTCGGCAGCATTTTTTTTTGCAGTAGGACGTTGAGATAACCAAACAGCTTCGCTATCCAAAACAAAAAAACGACTTCTCTATGATTATGAAAGATGAAAAATATCTACAGTGCTCTCTTAAAAATTCCTGCGCGTCTACGTACCTACAAAACACTCCAAGAGCCAATCTCCACGTTCAACCGAATCACCTCAGCGAATGACGAGGCGGAATATCCGCTTAGACCTAAACATGAAGTCTGCGCTGTGGCATTACGCAATACAAAGCGTCATGCCTGCATTGCATAATGCCACAGCGCAGACTTTATTTTGAGGTCTAAACAGATGTACCGCCTCATCATTCGCTGAACTGATTTCCTCGATCGCAGAGATTGGCTCTTGAAGTGTTTTGCGGGTAAGTAGACGCGCAGGCATTTCTTAGAGTGTATGGCAGAGTATGGGCACCCTGCAGACATATTATGGAATATGAAATGCATGTAAAGTATGGCAGAGTATTCACTCCGTGCGACGCGACCGGCGCGCCACCGAGCGGCAGTTACCAAAGGTAAACAGTGAGAACCCCAGCGAAACGAAACCACTTTGCGTACATTGATATGCATTGAAGTGCGAGCGGTGCGGTTGCGCTGGATTAATAGCATGAGCTGCTGTGTCGTTAAGTGCTCCGTATATACAAGGTTTTTTTTTTTTTTTTTTAAGCTTAACAGATTTGTTTAAAAAAAAAGCCGTGAAAAATACACTTATGCCGCTTGTGGAGGTGAGTTATACGGCCAGCGGGACATATTATAGGCGGCTAATCGTAACGATCAGTTGGCTAATTAATTAAAACTTGTTAATTAACTTTTTAATTAATGGAAATAGACATATGGTTCCAATTAGAAACTTGCTCGGCGTCATCGAAAACCACTAATACAGTCATTTTCAGAAACACTGAGCGCGTGAGAAGCGTAGTAGTGCAGTAAAGTTACCACTCGTGGAGCAGGTACAAAGCTAGCGGTTGCGATAAGGCGCTCGCTCGATTTTTCCGTCTCTTATCTAGCCCCAGTCTTGTACCTGCTCCACGAGTGGTAACTTTAGTACAATACTACGCTTCTCACTTGCCGAAAGTCTTTTTTAAAAATGACTGATTTAGTGGTTTTCGATGACGCTGAGCAAGTTTCTAATTGGAGCCATATGTCTATTTTTATTAATTAAGAGTTATACTTCGTTTCATTTTATCTGCGAGCGAGGCCAAAGCTAGAAGCGCGAGACCAGCGCTTTTTGTTTTTCTGCCCAGCTCGCGCGCTCGGGCAAAGCCTGAAGGCACGGAGCTTTCGTGCTCGCGCTTCCAGCTTTGCCTTCGCTCGCACATAAAGTGAAACGAAGTATAATTAACGAAGTTTAATTAATTAGACAACTGATTGTTAAGATTAGCCCCCTATAATATGTCCCCCTGTCCGTATAACTCACCTCAACAAGCGGCATGAGTGTAACTTTAACGGCTTTTTTTAAATAAATCTGTTAAGCTTAAAAAAAAACAAAAAACACCCTGTATATATATTTAACGACGTAGCTATATGGTCTGTGAGCTCGAGCATAGCTCGAGAGTTGTTTAACGACCTTGACTTGGCATAATTTCATAAAAAAAGTGACAGGCTCGTGTGAGACAAAAAAGTATGTACTTATACTGACCGATGTAATGTCGACCTTACATGTACAATTATATCTGTCTGTTCCTGTCCCCCTCATCTGTCACTCCCTTTGTCTGTCTGTGTGCGTGTGCGCGCAAGCATACATGTTTTTTTCTTATTCGTATTATGGTATGCTTACATAAGATGCCATGTAATTAACGAAAAAAGTGCAAGATATAAACAAAGCTCACCTCTCCGATTACCGCAGAAGAGCGCCGCATTTCGCTTGTGTTTCGCCTGTTATTATTTTTATTCGCCCGATGTTTTTTTGTTCTTTTTTTTGTGCAAAACAAAATAAATATACATGGACTTCATTAAATTACAGACAAGCATTAATAAAAGCATATTTATGGTATTAGCTTTGCGGGAAATTATCTTTTGCGTAAAACGTGTTCTTCTGGAAAGCCATCAGAGTGAAATTAGGGTTGCTTAAATCGGGATTTAAAACATCTTGATTCTTATTCTCCACACTGGACTCCACCATTTTGTAGTAGGTTAATTTCAGGACACCTATACCTCGTTGATTTTGCGAAAAAGTGCAAGGGCTGCACCCCCTAGAAGCCGGGAATATGTCTCGTCCGAAGCCAGCCTACAGTGCGATTCATACAAGATGCTAAATTTATTTCCTGGGATATATAAGAAGCGGAGAGCAGCTAGATGACCTTGTTATGTCTGCCCCGGCCCTCATGCAACGTAACCCTCACCGTATCGGCTTGAAGACCACGTCCGTGCGCGCTTCCACCGCCACAGCTTCGCACACGAAAAGGCGCGCCGCAGACTGCTCAAAGCGTCTCACTGTCGAACGCCAGCTACTCCGCTAGTGGCGCTACGCGCGTATTGAAAGCGCCTCCTATAGTTACCGTACAGAGTGTATGGGCACCCTGCATATACAATTCAGTGCCGATACGCGCGCCTCTCACAGCGGCGTCGCGCGTACTCATCGGTAAGAGACCTCGAGAGTCGCAGCTCGACTGCAGTGGTACATCGGTGGGTGTTGCAAGGTCGACATGCCTGCTTGAGCTACCATACGAGCAGAACATTCAGCAGCACAAAGAAAGCAAGTTCAATAAAATAGATAACACCAGGAAGGGGAAAACAGCCGAAAACGCGATTTTTCGTATGACCGGTCACTAGAACCACCAGAAAAACGGGCAAGGCATGTTCAGGCAGAAAACAGGCATGTACAAATATACGAAAGAAAAAGATCCATCAAGACAACAAGGAGCAGGCTCTCCGTCGCCTTCCATCGTGTTTTACTTCTCCCAAGCAAGGAAAAGCTATTCGTGTTTATTTTTTTTATTTTTTTGTCTTTTAAATTGTTTCACCCTTTCCAACTTCTTCGGCGTCTCCCGCCACCTGCACAGACATCAAACGTGGGTCCGTACCCCCTCGATTCGCGGGTTCACAACTCGCCACGCGTAACAGATGATGTAGCCTCTTGCCAGAGGTTCGAATTCTCTTTGTCTTCGATGTGCCCTACTGTATTCTAGCACGCCCTTGAGGCACGGCTGAAACGCACCCGGCGCGAGGCTAAGAGCATCGTCTTCGAAGGTACGGACTGTACTTCTTTTGTTTTACTCGTCTAAGAATGGTGGTCGAGTCCACTCCTCACTTTACCATCTGCTGTCAAGATAAAGGGGGGAGGGGGGTTAGGCCATTTAAGGAGTGC